TCTATGTATACTTGCTATAAATGAAGAATTGGATACTGAAATTTAAAAGCTATGTAGGAGTACAAAGGACCTACCTAGAAAAGTAAAAAGAAAAAGAAAAAAAAGTGTTGGAAGACGTTTAGTACCTAATTTTAAAACTTCCTCTAAAGCTACAGTAATCAAGGCAGTGTTGGTGTGAGGAAAGACATATAGATCAATGGAATAAAACAGAGAATCTAGAAATAGAACCACTGAGTTTTGAAAGATTATTTAACATTAACATTTTATAGAACATAAACTCAATTCAGGAGCAGAGGAAAAGATAGTGTTTTCAGCAAATGGCACTAGAACAACTGGTATCAGTATATAAAAAAATTAACCTAAACCCTTTATTTCCATAGATAAAAATAACTTTAAAGGATCTATGAACCTAGATATGAAAGACTAAAACTATAAAACTTTAAGAAGAAATTATAAGAGAAAATGTTTATGAATTTAGGGTAGGCAAGAATTTCCTAGGATATAAAAAACATGATGTATAAAAGAAAAAAATTGATAAATGAGAGTCCATCAAAATTTACAACTTTAAAAGACATCGTTAAGAAAATGACAAGTAATCCTTAACCAGAATGTATTTACAATGCATATAACCTAATGACCAGAATATATAAAGAATTCTTACAGCTCATTAATAGACAACCCAATTAAAAGTAGACACAAGAAGATGATTAAATAGCCAGTATAGCACAAGGAAAGGTGTGCAACACTAGAATCAGAAAAATACTAATCAGCACAATAACAAAATTGAATTATAAACTCATTAGGGAAATGAGATTAAAAGTTTTAAAGAACAAATGTCAGCTTAGGTGTGAAGCAGTTAGAACTTTCTAATACTGCTAATGTGAATGTAAAATGATAAAACCATTTTGGAAAACAATATAGAAATTTCTTGTATTACTGTTAAGAACCAACAGTCCTATTCTTAAGTTTTTACTTGAGAGGAATGAAAACACATGTTCATAATAGATTTGTACATACAAGTTGAGTAACACTTATCTGAAATTCTTGGGACCAGAGTGTTTCAGATTTTCGTTTGAAATTCACTTGATCTGCAAAGAGGATAGCTACTCGTGCTTTTTTTTCGGGTTCCTGTCACATGGAGTATTGTTTTCCACCCTCTAACTTTCAGTCTATGCATTTCTTTTTGACTTAAATGTGTTTCTTGTATGCGGCATATTGTTGGATCTTGCTTCTTGATCCATTCTGTCACTCTATTTCTTTTGATTGGTGAATTGAGACCATTAACATTGATGGTTATAACTTATACATATTGACTTATTGTCATGACTTTTTCTGTTTGTTGGATTCTCCCCCTTTGCATTTAATTTCTTGTTGTGCCAGACAGATTCATTCTGCTGGGCTTCCTGGGGTTGTGATATTGTCTAAAATTTGTTGGAGTGCTGGTTTGGTATTCACGAAGTTCCTAAGGTGCTCTTTGTCATGCGAGAATCTTATTTCTCCATCAATTTTGAAAGATAATTTTGCAGGGTACATCAGTCTGGGTTGGAGGCTGTTTTCCTTTAGGGCTTGAAATACATCACTCCAAGCTCTTCTTGCCTTGAGGGTTTGCATTGAGAAGTCTGCTGTGATTCTGATGGGCTTTCCTTTGTATGTGATTTGTTTCTTTTCTCTAACTGCTTATAGAATTTTGTTCTTCTACTGGGTTTCTGGAATCTTAACAATTATATACCTATGTGTAGATTTTTTTGATCAAGGCTATTTGGAGTCCTATATGTCTCACTTATCTGTATGTCAAGTTCTTTTCCCCTGCTTGGAAAGTTTTCTGCCATCACTTCTATGAACAGTTTTTTAATGTCATCTGCATGCTCTCCTGTTTCTTCATTGACTCCAGTCAGTCTTATGTTATTCTTCTTTGCATCGTCTAGCAGCTGCTGGATTTCTTGTGGTCCCTTACAATTTTAAAGCAATTTTTCTTTTCCTGGTCACTAATTGCAATCTTATCTTCTATATCTGAAGTTCTGTCCTTACACTGACTCATTCTGCTACATAGACTTTCAATGGAGTTTTTAATCTCCTGGAAATCTGTTTGCATCTGTTTTATGGATTCCATTTGTTTCCTATGTTGGGATTCCATCATGTTCCTCAGATCCTCTATTTTTTTATCTGTGTCCTCTCTAGATTTATTAATCATGTCTTGCACCATAAGTACAATCTTTGCTGTTATCTGAGTAATTATTTCTGATTTCATTTTTCCCAGATCCTCTTTTATTGCCAGTTCAGGGAGTCCAAGTGGGGTTGAGTATCAAGAGTGTTCCACCTCATTTCCCTTTGGGGTTGCTGTAGGTGATCTGGAAGTCTGGTTTTGAGACTTGTTTACATGTCTCCTCATTTGAACAGGAGGTGGGGGTGGAGGTGGAGGTGTGCTCATCTCGCCTGTGCTTGTGGGGATGGCACTGAGGCCCGGAAGACCCCCCACACTCCGTGTGCTGGGCGTGGCTCACCTCCTCCATGCCTGTGGGGGTGGCACAGCAGCCCGGAAGCCTCCTCTTGTGTGCTGGGAGTGGCTCACCTCCTCTGTGCTTGCGGGGGTGGCACACCGCCCCGAAGCCTCCTCTTGTGCCTCTCTTGTTATAGTTTACCAAAACATTAGGTTTAAGCACCTCTATGAATAGAAGGGTTTAATACTTTCTATTCCTTCACCACCAAAAAAAGACCGGGGTGGGGGGGACATTTATCAAATGCCCCTGGCTCCAAAATGAAATATTAACTACTTCTCACTTATAAAGAAACAAGGCAGAAAGTACTAACATTAAAAAAATGTTTTTAAAGAATAACATTGGAGGCCTTTAAAATCAGCAAGCTACAAAACTGTGTAGTACTGGCATAAAGGTAGACCAAGAGACCAGCACAGTGGAGACCTCAGAAATAAAATTTTACATATATTGTAGCTACAGTCTCAATGTCTTTGTCCCCCCAAAACACATAAGTTGAAATTCTAACCCCCATGAGATGGTATAATGAGTGGGGCTTTTGAGACTTAAGTGTTAGGCTATGAAGACAAAGCCCTCATGAATGAGATTAGTAACCTCATAAAAAGAAGTCTCAAGGCTAGAGATGTACGACAGCAGTAGAACACCTGCCAAGTGCTGCAGATTCAACCCCCAGTACAATCTACATGGATTAAACCTTCAGAATGTTAAGATTCAAAGTCAGTCACAAAAAGACAGGATAGTAAAAGCCACAAAAACTTTTTTTTTAAATAGTAGTTGCTAAAAGCTTGGGAAAGCAACAAATGGGCAGTTGTTTACTGAGTATAAATTTCAGTTTTCCAAGACAAAAAGAGGTCTAGAGAGTGGTTTGTGCAACTATATAAATATAGTTAATATTGAAAACAATACACAGCATAAATTGTCTTGTGCTAGTATACAAATAAAGTATACAAAATTGAAGTCTAAGAAAAAAATCAATTTATCAGTATAATATAACTTTAAAATTCTCACCTGATTGTTGTGTGTTAATTCATTAACTGAACTTTTAAGTTTTTGTAGTTCCTGCACATATACAGCAACTTCCTGAGGACCTTTGGCAAGTTCACTCCTTAGCTGGCTTATTGTGGCCTTTAAAAAAAATAAAATAGAATAAAACTTACAGCAAACTAAAATGAAAAAGGAAATAAAAATAACAAAAGCTTTAAGATTACATAATTTTTTGCTGTTGTTGTAGTTACACTGAATGCATGATTCCTTGCTCCCCGACCCCCACCCCGGGATGAAACTCTTGGGCTTGCAAGGCAGGTGCAGTGCCACTGAGCCAAATCCTCAGCCCTGTTGTAGTTACACTGAAATTTTAAAAAATGGAAACAAAGTCTTTGTAGATAGAGGGGTGGAGGGGTTGAAGGGAGGGCAGGGGAATGGGGAAAATATAGGAACCAAGATGGATTATGTAAAGGTGCAAATTTCCAATGATGAATGTCATTATATTGTATACCTTAAATGTACCAATGAAATTAATTTTTAAAAAAGAAATATTTGGAGCTTTGAACTTGTTTTTTAATCCTACCACACTGTGCAATTTCACACCCTTGTCTTTGGCTTAAAATTAATTTTTAAAATTTGTCTAAGATGCACAATTTCACTTATATAATAACATATGAAACACTGGCATCTTATTTTACCTGTCAGATGTAAACATCAAACTGCAAATTTCAATTAGTTTAGAAAGTCTACACTTAAACCTTTCTGAATTTAAACAGAGTAAGGAAGTAATATCTACATTTTTTCTCAATTTCTATTATATAAATTTTTCCTTTTAAGACATGTATATGCAAACATACAATATAAATCAATCTTAATGAGTTACTTTGCTGAATGCAATGAAAATTTGTCTAAAGAAGCTACCAAACTAAAATTACATATAGTTTGCGTAAGCTAGATCACTCCATGGCCAGGTTATGGCTGGCTATGAATGTGCTTTAGGGGGTTTTTTTCCTTGTAAATGAAAATTAATGTTTATTATTAAAACAATAGTTTGATCATTTAAAAATATGTAAGAAAAAGCCAGGTAAGCAAATATCTGGGAAATACAAACTTCCTATAGTGTACATAAAAGCTCAACTATGAGAAAGACTAAGTACTGCCTTTTATGTATGATTTCCTGAAAATGGCACTAAAACAAATTTCTATTTCTAATATATCTTGCTGGCTTTATTTTTTATTTACATCCTTGAAGTTAGTTATTTCATTGCCTATATTCTTTATTACTGAATAAACTTTATAATATGGACAAAATTTTCTTAATAAACATATAGATAGATATATATATTACAAATTGAGTGTTTCATCTTTCAAAGAAGAAACCTTAGAAAGCAACTAATTTATTATGACAATAACACCATTATTCAATAGGTCTTTATTGCTCCTCTTTTGGAAACCCTTCCAGAGTATGAAGAGCTCATTTTTTTAAAGATATATCTTCATCCACTTATAGTAGATTTGGTTTTAAGTTTTGGAAACAACCTAGTAAACAAAGTAAATGACTGAAATGAATGAGCAAAATATTAGGCTTTTTGATTATTTTCTTTTTTGGTACCAGCAATCAAACTCAGGGCCTCATACTTTCCAGGCAGGCACTGCATTGCTGAGCTACATTTCCAGCCCCTTATTTTATTTTAATAACAATATTAATGAAACAAATTTTTGAGTGTTTTCCACTGATTTAAAGTCAATTAAAAGAAATTTCAAAAATATTTTTAGGAAAGGCAACATGTCTGGGAGGTACATGGCCTGACCTTCTAAGAAAACATTCATTTAAATGTACTGATTCTGGTATAAGGAAAGGCAATTTATCAAACAGTTTTATAATTACACCTTATACACAGTGTTTCAGAATTATATATAACTTATAAACATATAAAATAAATATTCATATGATACTTAAGAAATATATGTATATGATTGTGACAATTAAGATAGAGTGTGAACTTCACTAGCTTTGGGAACTACCCCGGAGACTGGTGGAGCACATTTCAGGGTGTGTCTGGTGGGTCAGAGGCATGACCTTCACATCTATATCTGGCTTTTCACTCCTTTCCCTCTGGCACATTCCCCTGCTCTGCTTCCAGGCCACCATAAACTAAGCATCTCTGCACCACCATGCCCTTCTGACAGGATGTTTCTGCCTCAGAATCAGTTGGCCATGGACTAAACTCCATGACACCACAAGTCAAATTTTCACCTTGGGTGAAACTCAAAAGAAAGATCCCTGCTCTTCTCATACTGACTTTCCTCATTATTTAACAGCCTAAGCTCATCTGGACCTTGGACTTTAGCATTCACTGTAACCTCTTCCCAGGGATCCTTACCCAAATTCTCACTTCATTTTCCTCACTTATATGTTGTTTGAGCTCTGACCACCTACCTAAAACTGTCCCCCTTACTCCCCACTCCACTACAGTCCATTTCCTGCTTTTTTTTCTTCACAGCACTTATTTCCTGACTTTATATCATGTTTGGTTTACTTCTATATTGTTGGACTTCCATGAAGGAATATAATCTTATGAAAGTCTGCATTTCTTATGATAGTCTGCATTTCCCTGATGCTATGCTACTGAATGAATTTTTACCAAAACTTTGAAATTTAAAAATAACTAAGGAACAATATTTCAAAATTAACATTGTGCTGGTACTTTAGGATCATAGTTATTGTTTTAATATTCTACCATTATTAGAAAATAATCATTTAAAAGTAATTGAAAACTTTTTCCATTAACAAAACAAAAATGAGCATGTCTGAAATTGAGACTGCCTTAAAACACAAAACTGCCATATAGAAGGTGGTTTATTAGGGATGATATTAATACTAAAAAGCCTTTCAGTACACATTACCTCAAATTTTAGCATCTCCATTAGAAAGCAGAAAAAAAATAAAATGATGGATGAAAGGTGGAAGACAAGACTAACAAAAGTACACATTGAGCACACAATAAAAATATCCAAACATACCTAGAAATTTAATCTCTTAAATTACTATATTTTTAAGATACTGAAATATTCTCTTTAATACCTATGCATACCTAATACATAAGTATAATCATACCTTGTCCATGCCTACTTAAAGATTTTTGATATTAAAACTAGGATTCAAATGAGTTTACTTGAAATACAAATAAAATTCCTTAAAATTCATCTTCATTAAAGACTACACCAAAGATAAACTGACTACAGCTTTGACATTTTCAATAATGCAGATTAACATTTAAATCTTCAATTTCCAACATACAACAATTTATTAAGTACTTTTAGAATGAAAAAATATGGTTTCAGAGATATACAGACCAAAAGGTCAATGAATTCACAAAATACATATCCCATGAAAGTAATAAACCTAATGACATATGTTAATAACGTACACCAGGTTACATATCTACAGCTCCAACTAAAAACAGCAATCACCTTTCACTTTTAGTTTCCTTAATCCCTTTTAATGTGTTTTGCTTCTGATGCCAATATTTAGATTCAGTAAAAGTAACAATATCTACAATAAAAATTTTTCTAGTAGGCTCTTTAAGTGGCAAATTCACCAACACATTTAACTGAGAATAAATAGAACTGAACTTCAATAAATTAATAAAATCTGTTAACATTCAGGGAAAGTAGGGACTTAAAAACAAATGGAGTTATGAACAAGTGAGATGAAGCAATTAAACAGTAATTTTTTCATATGAAAATGGTGTAAGACACAAGTCAAATATTTCAAGCTATTATAAATAGTACAACATACAATGTGGCAAAGTAAAAAATACATATTAGGATAAGATTAATAGTGCAAATTTACTTATAAAGGCAATCATCAGACCATCTAAAGTAAGAGACAACATGATAGAGAAAGAAACATGGCTTTGGATGAGACCTGGATTCAAACAGTAGCTTCTTTAAAAAAAAATTGACTTCTTTAAAAAAAAAACGTACTAGTTTCTTTATGGTCGGTACATAATCTTGAACAAGTTACTTAAGCTCAATGGGCCTCAGATCCCTTGTGCATAAATCAGAGCTAATACTTAACTTACAGGGTGTAAGAAGATATTAAAACCACATATTTAAAGTGCCTACCATGGTATCCCTAGCATTTCCCAAAAAAAGTTTGTTTCTAATAGCAATATTATTCTGACTCTTACGCTGCTGCTTCTTAAAGTTATTAAAAATATTTTAACATAGCCTGATCACTGTAAATCTATTAAAAGGGAATAAATGTCATTCTTATTTTATTAAAATATAGTGAAATATTAAATTACCTATTCAATTAGCAACAATACGTTCTTTTAAAGTTTATTTCAAAATACTTAAAAAATAACTTTTTATGAAAACATAAATGACACTGAGATATAAAAAATGATTTCTAAGCCATTTTCCTTCTTTCCCAGAAACATCTTTTCGGGGAGTGGGGTTAACTGTCTCCTACAGTTAGCCCTGTTTCTAGGAGAATAATAGGAAACTAAATTCTTTTATCCAAATGTTTAATAACTCTAGTCATAATTTTTTCATCTTAAATAATCTTATATTACAAATATTTTAATCTAAATAAATAAAAATATAAATTTACATAAAACCTAAATTAAACTATAGTTTGTTTTGTTTTTTTGGGTTTTTTTGGTTACTTTTGAGAAGGTCTCATTCTGTAATTCAGGCTGGCCTTGAACTCTCCACGATGCTCATGTGTCAGCCTTGAGAAAGCTGGGATTACAGGGGTGCACCTCCATGTCCACTTTAAACTGTGGTAATTGTCAAACACAATACCAAATTATTTCCTCATTACCAAGTTATAATACGGTCCTGCGTATATTTTTCACATGCAAGTTAATATATAAACTCCTTTTCTTTCTTAATATTCTTAACAAGTATATCCATAACTCTGTAACTCTCAGCTGGAAAAGGTCAGAGAGGCCTACACTTTAAAATAGTAGATATAGTCTAGCCAGGCAGGGAGGCACATGCCTGTAACCGCAGTACTCTGGGAGGCTGAGGCAAGAGGACCAAAAGTTCAACCCCAGTCCAGGCCATCTAAAAATAGAAAGGGCTATGGATGTAGCTCAGTGCAAAGGCCCTGAGCTGGGTTTTTTTGGTAAACTACCAGGATTTTGATTCAATTTCAGTCACCATATTACATTTATTTTTAACTTCAAATAACATTTAAAGGCACTTTTAAATCAAAAGAGACTGTAATTTTTTTAAATTAGAGAAATATCAGTAGGCTTGCAGATCTAATCAAAAGTAGTTCTTATAACTCTAACCAGGAGAAATAAATAACTGGATTCATCCAGGTTAAGCATCATCTAAATGGGACTTTCTTCATCAGACTTCTTTCATTCAGATCTTGATTATACATTACAGATATAGATTAGTGATTCCAGTAGAACAAGAACTTTTAACTTTGATAAGTTCATAAACCCCTTAAAATTGTTTAAAAAATTGTACAAGTATGTGATATTGGGCTATGAAGTGTCACTTTGGAGAAATCTACATCTACAGATCATAAATTAGTGTTAAGCATCATAAGGTCGCTCATGCCTATGCATGTGAAACGCATATACTTTCACCATTTATCAATTGATAAGACACAGAAGAAAGGAAAACAAAGGATGAATTGGCTAGGTGTGGTGGTGGATGCCTGTAATCCTGGCACCCTGGAACACTGAGGCAGGAAGATCACAAGTTTGAGCACAGCCTGGGCAACGTAGCAAGACTGTTTCAAAACTAAAGGGCTGAAAAGGTAGCTCAATAAGAAAGACTGATTTCAATTCCCAGTACCGCAAAAAAAAAAAAAAAAAGACATGTTATTTATAGTACTTATACTCAGAATTTACTCATTTGTTACTATGACCAGAGTAGCTTTTATATCACCAGTTAAAAATCTTTACATGAGAAAAGCAAACTGTATAGTCACCAAAACAACTTGTTAAACTGAAAATATGAAAAACAGAGATCCACTTCACATAAAGGAGTTAAGGACTGGAAATAATAGTGGCCATAACAAAATATATTTCTATAATACAGTAAGAAAAGACAAAGGCTAGCATTTTCAGCAATACATTCATTATACATCTTAAACCTTATCATACACTGACATAATTATATAGGGAATTTACAAGCCAAAGTATTGTCATGTGACAAATAACAGAACTGAGAAAGTCTGTTAAGGAAAACACGAACAGTCATCAAATATCTAGGTGGAAAGACTAATAATCTATTCCATGTAACTGCTGAGAAGAAAACTAGAAGGTATGTAATTTACAGGGAAACACATGTTAATTCAATAGAATAATTGACTTTGGAAGAAATATGCACAACATATACCATCTAGCAAGAATTGTGGATCGCATCAGGGTTGCTATGAAGGGGAGTCTCAGATGCAGTGCTAGACTAGATCATTTTAATAATTCTTTCAACCACATAATTCAATGTCTATCAATTAGAAATAAGCTTCTTAGAAAATAAAAATTTTCCCCAAACAACACTAGTAACCTAATTGTAGAAAATAATACCATTCTTCCTTTACTCCTAATTGAGATACACTCAATTACCATTTATCAACTAGCCTCGAGTAAATTTAACTTTAACTCTCCATGCCAACTGCCAGAAGTTCAAGGCCAGCCCAAACTGCATAGCGAGACCCTGTCTCAAAAAAATATAAAATAAAATAAAAATCATCTCTCCATATATATATCATTTATTAAACAAATAACCTATTACGCAAACATCCCAAGTATATAGTTTTTTAAGGCAAAAGTAAACAATATTGACTATCAGACCACAGTAACTACAATTACTCAGATCAAATAAAACAAAGGCAAAGGGAGGGGAGAAGGGAAGTAAAAAGGAGTAAGATGCAAAGGGTACATATACCAACTCCCTACAACAAATGTGTTCCTCATGTATTGTAAACATGTACTAACAAAAAAAAAAGCCACTAAGATAATTTTCAAATCTTGGCTTTACTCAATAATGTAGCACTATCAATCACAGTTTATTACCTCTGAGTTAGCATGTTTGGCTTGTAACTCTTTGCACTCATCTTTGAGTTTTTCAGATTCTCTCTCACGCTCCAAAGTCATATTATCCATTAATGTTTGAACTTGGACCAGTTCTTTCTTTAGCACAGCAACATCTTCTATACCAGGTCTTTGAAGCTGTGAAGTCACACATTTTAATTAAACATTACAGTGAAAAATTAAATGGAAGGAGGGATGGAAGGGATAGATGAAGCGTTAGGATTTGTGGCAGGTTGCATGTACTTGACTCGTTTATTCATATATTTATTGAATGATAAATAAAGGAAAGTCAAGGATAGATGAGAGGTTTGTAAGCCTGGAGACAGCGGTGAAGTGTGGTATCAATGACAGAAATATAATCATGGAGGCAATGATGATGACTGTTTACTGCTGAATTTGAAACGAAAGAAATTCAACTGGAAGTAGGTGGGTTGATAAAACTAAAGGGCAAGGGAAGGTCAGGATCACAGAGGAATATATGGAAAATACTAAAAAAGACATATTTAGACAGAAACAACAAAACAGTTAAAGTAGTAAGTTATATATTGTAACAGTCCATTTTCATAAAGATCACATACAGTATGTATACATAGGTGACAGTGTATAGGGAATTTTTTATTTCCTCCTACTAACTCTATTTTTAAAAATTTATTCAGAGTATGTATAGCCTCTTAATTTAGAATAGCATAAAAGTAATTCTAGTAAATGGTTCCTAAATTACCAGTTCAGTCTTCAGATCTTGAATTACAGTTGCTCCTTTGTTTAATTCATCTGTCAAATGTGTCACTTTTTGTTCAGCAGCTTCCCGAAGACTCCTTTCTTCATCATATTTTGACTTTATATCTAATTAAAGATATTAATATAAATACTTGCTTCGTGACATTAACTCTAAGGAAAGAAAGTTTTATAAATTCTTGTATATTATTCTGCATATCCATAAGTTACTCTAATTCACATTCCTCAACTAACTATAAATATACACAATAAAATTATACTTCTGATTATATTAAATGAACTTTAAAATAAACTCTACCCACCAAGAAACAGAGAGAAGGGAGGAGAAATGAGAAGGGAAAGGGAAATAAAAAGAATTAAGATGTGTTATGTACATGTACCAAGTCCCCATGATGAATGCAATCATTATGTACTACAAATATACTAATACAAACTGTAAAAATTAAAATAAATAAATTCCACCCAACACTAAGTTATCAATTAGCATGTCAATGTAAAGTTGGTTACACACAGTATTTTACCCAGAAGCACATAGTTTTAAAAAATACAATATGAAGTGGGAGGAGTAGGGGAAAGGAAAGAAGGGAATGGAATTAATATGAGAAAATGAAAAAAAAAGGAAACAAAGTCTTTGTAAATAGGGAGCGATGAGGGGTTGAAGGGAGGGCAGGGGAAGGGGGGAAAAAAATAAGAACCAAGACAGTATATAAAGGTGCATATCTCCAATGATGAATGTCATTATATTGTACACCTAAAAACGTACCAATAAAAGGATATCCAAAAAAAGAATATTTTGAAGGATTAAATTGTATTTATCAGTTTTAAATGTAAATTTTTGACCAAACAATGCCACAAGGAATTTATTCTCATGCTATACTCAAATTAGTGCACAGTAAAATGTAGTATATGAATAACAAAAATTATAGAAGCATTGCTTATAATAACAAGCCAAAGTCCATCCATAGAAAGTACTTTTGGGGAGCAGTGAGAGTATTAGAGATTGAACCTAGGTCCTTTGCACTAAGCTACATCCTCAACCTTTTGTTATTTTTCATCCTGAGACAAAGTCTAAGTGGATCCTGTAGAACTGTTTAAATAAAGTTTGCATACTGACAAAAAAAAAAGAAAATACAGTATGAGCCGGGCATGGTAGCACAGGCTTGTAATCCCAGCACTAGGGAGGCTGAGGCAAGGGGTCATGGGTTCAAGGCCGGCCTGGGATACATAGTGAGTTCAAGGCCAGCCTGAACTATATAGCAAGACCCTGTCTCAAAAAAAAAAAAAAAATGCAGTAACTGCATCAAACTGAAATCAAACCAAATGTTGAATGTGTACTATATTACATAATTAATTTCTTTAAAATGTTAATTTTTAATCCTTAAACATGCCACAGAAGAAAATTTTTCTTTAATTTTAAGAAAAATCTACAGAGGGCCAGGGATTTAGCTCAGTGGTACTGCCACCTGCCTTGCAAGCTCAAGGTCCCGAGTTCAGTTCCTGGAACCAAAACAAAGAAAAGAAAAGTCTACAGAGGAAGAAAAACTAATCCTTTGAAAAGAGGAGGTAACAGGATAAACAAAATAATTTACAAAGCCTCTAAATCATGAACTTCCATTAATCATCACCGTAGTCTATAACAAATACTTTATTACACTAAAATACTGGGGGTTTTTCCCCAAGGAAACATAGTGATGAAAATGCAACAGGACTGATTTATTGGCTAAAAAATTCTGATTCAATTTACCTGCAATTTCAGTAGCAAGTTGGGCTGCTTTCTGTTCAAATAAATCTTTCATTTGCTTAATATTAAAATTTTCTGTCTGAGCTTCCTCTAACTGCTGTTCCAAAGACTGTAGTTCTACAAAAAAAAAGTGCAGCAGTTATTTAAATACAATGTCAAATAAATATAGTAAGTTGTTATTACTTATAATCATTGTAGCAGTAAAGATAATCACAACATGAGTCCATTATCCAATTACAAATGTACTACTTTCACATTTCATGAATTAAGCATATCTCATTCATTTAAAGCACAAATCATAATTTATAAACAAATGAACATTTAGAATGACCTCCAAATAATCTATATTTTAAAGTTATTCTGACTTAATATTTCATATTTTCCTATATCCATCAAATTACCAAAGAAATATATTCTGCTCCTACTCTATTCTCTTTTTAAAAAGAAATTCCTAAAATATAACAGCTAATCTCAAAATATAATTTTGATTATTCACTGAGCTTTTCTGCACTTAAACAGTTATGCAGATGCTAGTACATTCCATCAATTTACTTCAAAGGACAAAGACTGCATAATTCTTCAATACAGAATTCATTAAACAATCATATTGATGTAACACTCCAGAAGTTCATTTCTAACTTCAGAATACAAAGAACTTAAAAAAAAAAACCCAAGATTTCAGTTAGCTAATGAAATTATGAAGTGTACAGGTAACTTTCTAACCCCGAATGTGACCATTATTATCACTGTTTTAGAGGCATAAAGTAAAACTACAAACAAAATTTCTTTAGCAGGCATCAAAGAAAAATATAGGACGAGAAATAAGAAAAAAATGAAAAAGAACATGTCATAAGTTACCTGCTGATGATGAATCAGCCACCAATCCATCAGGTTTAGCCTCCTCAATGAAAACAAAAGACATAAACAAATGTATTAAAGGAAGACAACAGACAATACCATGCAATTGCCAATGTTAAAAATGTCTGAAAGTCAGGCTCTGAAAATCCAGGCTTTGAAAGTGTCAAGTCAAGTAGCAAAATTTTGGTGGAAATTAAAGTTTGGTCGTTATTCTTCTGGATCCTTATGGTGTCACAAGGCATGTGGAATAATGATTTAATGCAGTTCACCCATCAGCGCTAAGGCAGATTTTCTTTGTATGCTAATATACATAAAATTATTATTATGGGCCTTACTAAATCCTATAAAAGCCATAACAAATAGTAGAATGTTACCACCCCTTGAGAATATGACATCATATCGAATTGCACCCCATCTGTGAGCTACTGATCACAACTACTGGGCTTCAAATTGTGTAAACCTATGAGTGTGACAGCCACTGGGACTTGAGCCATGACATGCAGAGATTTGTTGGCTGCTTCTTACAGACTCACAGCTCAAGCTACACAGGGCCATACCCTGCCTGCCTCTAACTCTCAAGTTGCACCCACCACCCCTGCACGCCCTCTGGGGACAAGGGTTGCTAATACCATAGCCCTCTCCAGAGTTGGAAAGTGTCACTGTAGGAAACTGTTCACAAAGGTAAACCTCAGACTTCAGTAATTAGGCTGCACTTTCTTCCCCCAGAGACCTGCTTCCACCATAAGTGAGCAATTAGACTTGAATGGTTTGCGAGCTTACTTGCTGTGTGGCTCATGTAACTCTTGTGCTGACTATTTCCCTACGAGATTTGTTCATGTTAGACAGAGCCTCTCTAGGCACTGTGAACCTAAGAAAACTTTCTTTGTGAAGCAATAAACCATCTAATTTGTGAAATCAGACTTTGATCATCTCATTATTGTAACTGTACAAAGCACCTACAAAACTGAAAATTAGCACAAGGGAAAATATGCCATTGAACTATTACCACGCTGAAAAAAAAGAGACATTAAGGAATGGAGGTGTAGTTCAGTGGCTCAACACTTGCCTAGCATACAGAAGGTCCTGACAGTGTGTTTGTGTTTTAAGTTAGGTGTTACAGGAGTCTAAAAGTTTAAATAGATTAAAAGGTTATAAGCCTGGCATGATGGCACACACCTGTAATCCCAGCATTCAGGAGGCTGAAGCAGGAGGATCACAGTGAGTCTCAGGCCAGCCTACATAGTGAGTTCAAGGCCAGCCTAAACTACAGAGTAAAACTCTGTCTCAAAAACACCAAAAGGTTATAAAGGGGAAAAAAAGTTCCAGTAACTCACTGATTCACCCAGAGCAATTTCCAGAACTGTGAACTCCATTCACGTCACTGCCCTCTACACATGTAAGTTTATCTTTTATATTGTATTTTTACTGTGCCTTTTCTATATTTAGATACACAAACACCATTGTGTTACAATTACCTAAAGTATTCAGTATAGTAACATGATGTATAGGTGTGCACCCTTAGAACAGCAGGCTATACCATAAAGTCTGGGTATGTAGGAAGCTATACCACCTAGGTTCATGTAAATAAAATTTTGTTGTTGTTGTTGTTGTTTTTGGTACCGGGGATCGAACTCGGGTCCTTGTGCTTGCAAGGCAGGCAGCAGAACCACTGAGCTAAATCCCCAGCCCCAATAAAATTTTTAATATTCACACAAAAATGAAATCACCTAACAGATATCTCAGAACATATTCTCATAGTAAAAAACACAGGGTCTGGGGCTGGGGATTTAGCTCAGTGGTACAGCGCCTGTCTTGCAAGCACAAGGACTGGAGTTCAATCCCCGGTACCAAAAAAAAAAAAAAAAAAAACTACTAACACAAAAACACAGGGACTGTCTGTGTGTGAGGGCATGTGTGTACTATATACATTTTTATTCAGCTTTTTAAAAACTTAACACTGTTAATAAAACATTTTCCCATGTTTTCAAATATTTTCACTAATATAAACTATAAATTTCTTTAATTTAATATTTCTTTCCCTATCAATATACATTGTAGTTATTTCCAATTCACAAACAAATGTTTTGAACCTATATTTTTTAACCATTTAAAGTATATTGCCAGAAAAATAGACTAACATAAGACTGTATTTTAAAAAATAAGTAAATGATTCTTAACGGAATACCTTTAATAAGTTACATCTTCTTTTCCAGTGTGATTGTTTCCATTCATTAGAATTACAAAGAATTTATAGGGAAAAAAATTAGTAAGTTATTTATAACAGGCTACTTACTTACAAAAAGGTATTATACTAAATTTTCAACAATAAAAATAAACTAGTAAACATGCTTCAAGTATGTAAAAAGCAATTACTTGTTGCTGCAGCCCTTGATATTTTTCTAATTCTTTCTTTAATTCTTCTGAGTACCATTTTTCTTCCTAATGAAAAAAGTTCTAATTAGTAAACTGTAAATGACTCTTTATGTGAAACACTGAAAATAAACAAGTATAATCATCTTTATTCTTACCTTAAGTGAAGCCTGTAGGTCCTGGACCTCTTGTCTGAGCAATGTTATGTCATCTCTAAACATGTATAAGGGGAGGAGGAGCAACAGTTAATGCCTTTTAATTTTCAACCAGGTCCCTTAATAACTAATAACTATATATAGTTCTCTCATTTCTTAAAAAAATACTCCCTAAGATATCTTGTATAATGCCACACATATATATGTGTATATATCTTAACAATAACTTTATTCCTAAAGCTCATGGTTTATAAATAACAAACATTTTCTCATGGAAATAAGAAAAAAACTGTCAAGTACCTGAAGCAAAAGCAAAATGTTTTCTATTAACTTTAAACAATAAGTATCAATGTCTTCCTGTTGCAGTCAGTGTCGAATCTAAATTCATCACCAGGACACTAACATCCACACAATCTATCTGGTCCCTGTCTTAAACACCCCCCCCCCATTCACACAGCTCTCACAACATTGGCATGCACCTGCTCTGAACAAGATGTGCTCCGTCCTGACTGAGAATCTTCTCCTATTATGTTCCCCTTATCGAAGACTGAGAGTGACAAAAAAATTAAAGTTAAGCAGACCATGCTAGGCCTTAATGCAAGAGAAAAGACATTTAGGATTATCATTCTGGATGTCAAAAATATGTCTTCTATGTTGGATTATTAACAGCAGAAAACAGGACTCTCCTTGCTCTGTGCCACTACCAGTGACAGATATGATAGGAGACCCCAGAACTGAGAGAACATGTGGTGCACACCTGCAATCCCGGCACCTGGAGGCTGGGCAATAGGAATGCAAGTCCTAAGCCAGACTTGGGCAACTTAGTAAGGCCCTGACTCAAAAAATAAAATTAAAACGTCTAAGGATGCATGTAGCTCAGTAGTAGAGCTCCTGCCCAGGTGAGCACAAAGTGCTGAGTTCAATCCCCAGTGGTGAGAAAAAGAAAAAAATATATATAGTTCTATGTTACCTATCAACCATGAAGTTAACACTTTTATTTAGTATTCTTTATGTTATAGCAGATGCATCAATCAAGAATTGTTTGGTTTTTTTTTAAAGCATGACAAAAATTTTGTAAGTAGAATGAAATAAAGCTTCATTCTTCAGTGGTAGTAAAAAATTATTGTTCTTAATAGCAAAAGAAAAGCAAAGTTACATTGTTGAAGTCTGCTCGAGTAGTTACATATTTAACTTAATTTTAGTTCTAAAAGTGGTAAAACTAAATTGCCAGGAAGCACAATGTATATATTTTGGTGACTGAGTTTTTAAATTTAAATTAAAAATTAAATTTTAATTCTTGACTAAACTTATTATTTGAGCAACTTACTATAAAATTATGCTTTTTACATAATTTTATAGTAAGTTGTTAATCCTTTATTGAACAGAATATGCCAAACAAAATTAAATTTCTCTTGCTAACTCACAATCCTCATTAAAAACATAACCTACATAGCATGTTGTAAATGATATGGATAGATGCTGGTCACAAACTGAACAGGTTATATAGATAAGGAAGAAAGGCCATGCTAAATTGTCAGAGTAAGTGAGATTTACATTAAATAACATTAAAAAAGAAACTAATCATGACTAAACAATAGTGTTGTGCACACTCACAACAGTGTCACCCTTCAGAACCATCGTGCTATACCTCTGCAGAGCAAGCTCAGCCTCTCCATGCTTTGAATCATTGCCAGCATCATGAACTGCCTGGTAGTGTTTGAAAAGCTCATCAGCAGATCCAAGAGATTTCATGCACTGGGGACATATGAAGCCCTACAGAAAGAAAAGAAAAAGGTTTCAAAATATGATTTAATGTTGCAAATAACACTTCACATATTATGAAATATTCAAATGTCTTACTCATACCAATCTTGCTGAGTCACTTGTAATTTACGGTGACAAGCTCCAATTCTAGTTATTGTGGAAAGGTATTTCACTGTCTTATTCTGGATGACATTTACAAAATATTAAAAAAAAAATCCCTGCAACCACTTTTTAGGTTAAATAACTATGTAGAATACTGAAGACTAAATCTGAGAAGTTAGTTATAATCTCTAAGTTAGTTGACAAGATTTTCCAACATAATCTTCTCTCTAGATATCTCCATTAGTAAAATAATATCTGCTCCAATTTACTTCATAGGAATGCTATCAAAAAAATTAAGACATAATCTGATCACTGAGGAAAAAAGTAATATACATCATTCATAATTAACACAGTTTAAATATCTACAATGGTAAAGAAGTATACTTAGTAAATTTCCTCATTAACCTAAGGTTAACACAGTAAAAGCCTAAAATTAATATATACTATCAGATGATATAAAATCTTATAATTGATTCTAGAATTATTATACAATTAAAACTGTCAATTAGAGTACTGTGTTATAAGATGCTGATACAGCACCATACTTTACAAATCGGGGTTGCAACTCATTAATGAACCATGTACATAATTTATAAAGTGACAATTTTTTTAGTTATAAAACAGAATATATTAGTTTATCTTATGGAGTAAGGATAAATAATATTGTATTAGCTTTTGTTTTAAGTGATTATCAAAAACATATATTACAGTGACTGTCATCAAAAATACTTGAGAAGTGCTCATAGACAGTTGTACGATGTAGTATGGAAGAATAATAATGATGACTGCTTTTTTATTGAATATACAGTATGTGCCAGGTACTTTCCCTATACAATCTCATTTAAATCGCTATTAGGTAAATACTATCTTCATTTTATAGAAGAAATTAAACTTCAGAAAAGTTAAATAACTTTTCTAAGTTCACAAACTTAACTAAACCACAATATACACAGGTTTATTGGACAAATCACACGATCTTTCCAGAATGCTACACTGTTCCTTGAATTCACTGTCTTAACCTTTAAAAGTGACTTCCTTAAAATAAGTATTTTTATCTGCTAACTTTTTAGTGACTGTTCAACAAATATTTATCATTTCAAGTGTAAAAAGTTATGTAAAACATATAAATTATAAAATACAGTCTCAGCCTTCAAAGAACTGAGAAGACAGAATAAATACATATGAAAAAATCCTTTTTTGTGAAACTAAATTAATGATTAACCTCAGACCATTAAAGTTTACACTGCATTGGTATCTGATGCAAACTAAATTAGTAAATCAAAGGCTAACATAATTTTACTTCCAATTTTTTGTCCTACGGAAAATTATTTAGTCCACTTCCATATCTTTCAGGTAGTAGTAGTATTCAAAATATTACAAACTATTTTAGCATAATTTACCCAATATCCAATACAAATCTTTCTGTAAATTTCTCTTTAAATTATTTGCATTCAAAAGTTTTTATGGATAATAAAGAAGTAGTTTGCCACACTTTGAATACACACAAACACATTCCACAGGAAAGAGCTTTGGAGAGGGCTTCTCCCAAAATTCACTTTTAAAAATACTGCCAGAAAAAGAATTAAGATATATTATGTACAGATTCAAATTTTCTACAATAAATGGGATCAATATGTATAACAAATAGGTACTAATTTAAAAAGTAAAGTTAAAAAATGAAAAGAGGAGGACCCCTCGGCATGCCTACCAGCCACCAGCTTAGCCTTGTGGGCACCTGCAACCCCCACCCCGCACAGGTAGCTGTGTCTCTTCTACAGAGAAACAGGGGAGCATAAAGGCCATTGTCCTGAGCTGCAGAAGTGAACAACAGAGAGAGGGCCCCTCTCAGGCTCCTTAATGAAAACTGAAGCCCACTGGAAAAGTGAAGAGAATCTCTGCAATAAAGGCACACCAGACCACCATGCTTGGTAAGTTGGAGGGATCGTCACCTCCCATAGGAACCTGGACTATCTTCTGGGGAAGGGCAGCTGGAACCTGCAGTAGAAACTTGCAGAGTTCAACCCTGCAGGAGGACAAGGAGCTCAACTTGGGACTTGCAGCCAGAAATCTGCCTGAATTTCACAGGTCTGCTACTGGCTTGCTGAGACTCATTGACTTATATCTGCACATGGCTGGACTCGTTGTCTATTGTGACAACAGAGACATGCCCTGAAGGAGGCCCTTCATTTTTATCTTTTACTTGTGATTTTCAAAATTATTACTATTTTTTTGCTCTTATTTTTAATTTTTTTTCTTTTTCTACTCTTTTCTACTTTTTACTTTTTTTTTCTTTCTTTTCTCTTTTCTTTCTCTCTCTCTCTCTCCCTTGCTCCCTTGCTGTCCCACATTGTGCTTCATCTCCCTTTGTGTTCTGGCCCTAATTCGTATTTCTTCTTTATTTTTCTTTTCTTCTCTTTCTCTTACCTGTGTCCTCTGGCCTCACTGCTAACATTCCCCTATCTTCTACCTACCTATCCTTCCCTCCCCAATTCCTTCTAACTCCCCATCCCAAAGGGTAAAGTTGCTATATTGAAGAGTCTATTCACTATAAACATATGTTGGGTTGGTCCTTGATTTTGATTTAACTCACACAGTTAAAGGTGATAGATTAATAACTACCATAAATTGTCATTTTCCAAGAGGTACTTCATGCTATTGTGTTGCTGATTGTATCACGTGGGCTAAGGTGTTGTAATTGATCTAATCAGTTGTCCTTCCTGGTATAATGAAAATGAGATAGCCTTAGAGCCATTAGAGACTCAAAACCTAAAGACAAGCTATATCTGGAAGACACCTCTGAGAAGCAATCATTCCATAAGGGTTCTAAATACAAGCAACAAAGATACTTACAATAAGCAACTTCAAAGTATCAACCCAGGAATTAAACCAAGGACAGTACCAAAAATAAAAATGAGAAGACATTTAAGCAAGGCACAAACTCAGAATTCCACCCCACCAAGGGTAAATCCTGGGGAAATGAGATGGAAATGTCCCATAACAAACCGCCTGGATACCCTGAACTGATAGCACAGGAAGTAACAAAACAGATGAATGAGGCTGTAGAAAAATTCAAAGCAGAAATAATCTCCCAGATAACTAGAGAGATGGTGAGCAGAGTGAAAGACATGATTAGAGGCTCTAGAACAGAAATAGATTTAAAAAAATAGACGAGCTCAAAAACATGCTGGAAGCCATGAATGCCCAGCATAAGAAAGAAATGGAAACGATGATGATCGCCCAACATGAGAAAGAAATGGAATCCATGAAACAGACTCAAACAGATATTCAGGAGATTAAAAACTCCATTGAAAGCATGCACAGCGGATTAAAGGAATGTGAAGACAGAATATCAGATATAGAAGACAGGATTGCAGTTAAGCACCATGAAAACAGAGATTTCTTAAAAATAGTAATGGGCCACAAGAAGTCAATCCAGCAGTCGCTAGGTGATGCAAATTAGAATAACATAAGACTGATAGGAGTCCACAAAAAAGGAGGAGAAAGTACAATTGACATAAAAAACATGTTCACAGACGTAATAGTTGAAAACTTCCAAGACAGAGGTAGATAATTGGACATAGAGATAAGTGAGGCATATGGAACTCCAATTAGCCACAATCAGAAAAATCTATACCTAGACATATAATAGTCAAGATCCCAGAAACCCAACAGAAAAACAAAATCCTACAAGCAGTTAGACAAAGGAACAAATCACATTCAAAGAGAAGCCCGTAAGAATCATGGTAAACTTATTAACACAAACCCTCAAGTCAAGGAGAGCACGGAGTGAAGTATTTCAAGTCCTAAAAGAAAATAACTTCCAACCTAGACTGTTATGTCCTGGAAAATTATCTTTCAAAATTGATGGGGGAATTAGATACTTCCATGACAAAGAACACCTGAGAAATTTCATGAACACCAAACCAGCACTCCAAACAATTCTAAACAATATCCTAGAAAAAGACAATGAAGGTCACAACTCCATGAGGCCCAACAGGCGGAAGCCACCAGGCAAGGTAAGAAACTAAAGGGAAAGGGGGAAAAATAAGAAACAAAAGAGCCAACATAGTAAAACATCATGACAAGGATGACTCAATATCTATCAATTATAACCATCAATGTTAGCAGCTTCGATTCACCAATCAAAAGAAATAAACTGGCAGAATGGATTAAGAAGCAAAATCCAACAATATGCTGTATATAAGAAACACACCTAACTCAAAAAGAAATTCACAGACTGAAAGTAAAAGGATGGCAAACAGTTCTCCACGCCACAGGAACCCAGAAAAAAGCAGGGGTAGCAATATTATTTGCAGACAAAGTAGATATCAAACCAAAACTAATTAAGAGAGATAAAGATGGTCACTACACATCCTTGTGAAAGGAACAATCCAAGAGGAAGAAATGGCAATCCTAAATATATATGCACCAAATACGAATACTCCCAACTATACAAAACAAGTATTAATGGACATGAAAAACCAAATAAGCGCTAATACAACTGTAGTGGGGGAGCTCAACACCCCACTATCACAAACAGACAAATCATCTAGACAAAAAATCAACAACGAAATTCTAGAACTGAACCAAGCTACTGAACAAATGGACTCAATAGATGTTTACAGAGTGTTCCACCCTACAAAATCAGAATACACATTCTTTTCAGCTGCAAATGGGTCATGCTCCAAAATAGACCACATGCTAGCTCACAGGAAAATCTCTATGGAAAAGAATTGAAATTGAGAGAAGCTCAGCCGGTCCCAGCACCCAGAAGGAAGCTCCCTGCCTCCATGCCAGGCTCCTGGGGCAGAGAGGGTGAGCCAGTCCTAGGACCCGGAAGGAAGCTCCCCCACCGCCATCCCAGGCTCCTGGGGCAGTGAAGCTCAGCTGGTCCCAGCACCTAGAAG